TAGAATGACTTCAAATTGTAATATGAAACTACATTCGTTCATCCTAAATAGCTTTAACCTCGTAACAGTATACTTCTATTTATAATTAAATTTTATTGCCCTTTGAACCCTGTCTAACTACTATTAATCACTTTGGGGAACGTGGAGGTCACGTTACGCTATCGAATTACGTTACCCACGAGCTGCTCGCGTGCGTGCCTCTTGAAACATTTTTATTATATTATTTATTTTACCTAATCTAACCTTAACTAACCTAAAGAGAACCCTATTTTTACATTTTAGTTACTTTTATAATAATAAATAAAGAATAAACATGAAAAACAAAAAATAAAGTACTTACCCGAATCTACTTTTTTCTTGCTATGGATGACACTTAACCTTACTTTTTTATACTAATGGTAGTAATGCACTAAATAATTTATATTTAATTAAATAATGCACCAAAGAACATAGATTGATAATATACAATAGACAATTCCCCTAACTCTCACAATTTTTCTGTCTTTCTAACTATGCGACAAGAGCCGTTACAAAATCTTTCTCGTGAGAACGAAGTTTGTACTAAGAGTGAAATTGACAATTCTCCATTCAGAAGGCAATGTCATATAACACTTCATTTGACAGATGAAAAACCTTGGCTTTCTATTGGTTATAGATAATATAGAATTAAACGTAAAAGAGAACTATTAAATTCTGAAAGAGGGGATGTGAGAGATGGGTGTGCCAAGAGGGGTCTGATTAACTGCTATTTGATAGCTCTGTAACCATACAAAATTGAAGGCTATAAAAATTATGGTTTGTTTGTTTTGAATTTTGCGCAAAGCTATACGAGGGTTATCTGCGCTAGCCGTCCCTAATTTAGCAGTGTAACACTAGAGGGAAAGCAGCTAGTCCTCACCACCTACCGCCAACTCTTGGGCTACTCTTTTACCAACGAATAGTGGGATTGACCATCACATTAAACGCCCACACAGCTGAAAGGGCGAGCATGTTTAATAAAATTTTGAAAATAAGTCAATAAAACCTCGTGACATGCATAGTAAAGGATGCCCGTCGGGATAGGGTTCAAGTAATTGACTACAGGGAAGGCAAGCTAGTCACCACCAGCCACCTCTAACTTTTTGGCTACTTTTTATTAACGGATAGTAGGATTGACTGTCACATTATAACGCCCCCACAGCTGAAATAGGTAAGCATGTTTGGAGATGGTTTTCGTTCCCACAGATTGCAAGTAAGGCCCCATAACTACCAGGCTTTTACGAAACTTAGTGTTTGTCACACAAGTCAATTTATGAGTAATTAACCTTATTATCAACACTTTTTATTCCAAATCTTCAAAGTATTATTTTCTAATAAAATACTGAATCATTTGTTGAAAAGCAAGAACTATATATATTATTAAGACAGTTATAACGACCAGGATGCCTTGTTTTGTCAGTTGGGTACCCTCGCTGTGTGCAATATTTTAGGCCGTAAATATTATTATAAAATATACAACATGAAGCTATAACAAAAAAAAACTTGCTCAGCACAATTTAAAAATTGCTTTGGGTATTAGTACCATGCTACTTAACCTAATATTCATGTCCTAATACCATAACCTAGGTGATCTTATTTGAAAGCTACCATTTCGTGGATTTCCTGGTTTTCAGCTTTAAAAACAATTACAAGTACCAATTAATGTTATTTGCTACAAAAATATTCATCTTTAACTTCCATAGCAATGTATAAAAAAGTGAAAAATAGGCCCTGTTTTTTTTTCTTGTTATTTAATTATTGTACAATCTGATAAAGTTCAACAATTAGTAGATAAAAACAAATCTAATTCCAACACATCCAATCTGAGAACAGCAACCCTGATCTTACTTGGAAATGTTCCAGTGTTTGTATAATGAAACAATGGTATCATTACACTCTATTTTCATCATCAGAAAACAGGAAAGAAGTCCAATAACCTCAGCACTTTCCAAAGGTTTCTTTTCTGATGCTAACATTTTACTTCTGATCTTGCATACTTATACAATAACTTGAATATGACAGAATAAAAATTGGAAGTTGACTTTAACTTTATAACATAAACTTCTACCATATTCTAAGAACAACCAAGTTTTCAACTAAAAATATTCATAACAAGAGCAATCAGAGAGATTGCACACCCTCGCCCCACCACTACTTTTCGAGATTGCATGTATTTGTATCAGATAATGTCAAATTTCACCTTTAAAAATTCAGAAAATTATTCTCAAGTCAAGAATGATCAATGATCCAGATCATCTTTTTTAGTGTGATGAGGAATCTCAACCTTAATATTCCCAAGAAATCTGATACAAATCAGATCACACTTTACAGAGTTATTAACCCAAAACCACAAAAATGCCCTATCTCCCCATTATAAAAAAATGCTCCTAAGTGATCCAGACCAAATTTGGGAAGGTCTGACTTCCCATCTTGTGTAAAATATTCATGTACATCAGTCTATTAGTTTCCAAGATACATGTGTTGAAACACACACAGACACATGGCCCTGTATGCAATACCCTCACGCCCCCTCAAGATGCAAGAGTAAAAAGTATGAATAAGAAAATTTTTTTCTGTAATGTAATATTCACTAGTGTCAACTATAATACTTACATCTCACTATACAACTAGTGGTTACACGCCAAGGTATTCTATTCACTTACATCTCACTATACAACTAGTGGTTACACACCAATGTATTCTATTCACTTACATCTAACTGTACAGCTAGTAGCTACACACCAAGGTATTCTATTTACTTACATCTAGTAGCTACACACCAAGGTATTCTATTTACTTACATCTAGTAGCTACACACCAAGGTATTCTATTCACTTACATCTAACTGTACAGCTAGTAGCTACACACCAATGTATTCTATTCAGTTATATCTAACTGTACAGCTAGTAGCTACACACCAAAGTATTCTATTCAGTTATATCTAACTCTAAAGCTAGTAGCTACACACCAAGGTATTCTATTCAGTTACATCTAACTCTACAGCTAGTAGCTACACACCATGGTATTCTATTCACTTACATCTAACTGTACAGCGGTGTGTAGCTACTATGAATAGAATACCTTCAGTTAAATGTAACTGAACAGAATACCTTGGTGTGTAGCTACTAGCTGTACAGTTAAATGTAACTGAACAGAATACCTTGCTGTGTAGCTATTAGCTGTACAGTTAGATGCAGGTGAATAGAATACTTTGGTGTGTAGCTTCTAGCTGTAGAGTTAGGTGTAACTGAATAGAATACTTTGGTGTGTAGCTACTAGCTGTACAGTTAGATGCAGGTGAATAGAATACTTTGGTGTGTAGCTACTAGCTGTAGAGTTAGATATAACTGAATAGAATACCTTGATGTGTAGCTACTAGCTGTACAGTTAGATGTAAGTAAATAGAATACCTTGGTGTGTAGCTACTAGCTGTACAGTTAGAGGAAACTGAATAGAATACCTTGATGTGTAGCTACTAGCTGTGGAGTTAGATGTAAGTGAATAGAATACCATGGTGTGTAGCTACTAGCTGTAGAGTTAGGTGTAACTGAACAGAATACCTTGGTGTGTAGCTACTAGCTGTACAGTTAGATGTAACTTACAGCTAGTAGCTACACACCAAGGTATTCTGTTCAGTTACATCTAACTCTACAGCTAGTAGCTACACAGTGTGGTATTCTATTCACCTGCATCTAACTGTACAGCTAGTAGCTACACTCCAAAGTATTCTATTCAGTTACACCTAACTCTACAGCTAGTAGCTACACACCAAGGTATTCTATTCAATTACACCTAACTCTACAGCTAGTAGCTACACACCAAGGTATTCTATTCACCTGCATCTAACTGTACATCTAGTAGCTACACACCATGGTATTCTATTCACTTACATCTAACTGTACATCTAGTAGCTACACACCAAGGTATTCTATTCAGTTACACTTAACTCTACAGCTAGTAGCTACACACCAAGGTATTCTATTTACTTACATCTAGTAGCTACACACCAAGGTATTCTATTCAGTTACACCTAACTCTACAGCTAGTAGCTACACACCATGGTATTCTATTCACCTGCATCTAACTCTACAGCTAGTAGCTACACACCAAGGTATTCTATTCACTTACATCTAACTCTACAGCTAGTAGCTACACACCAAGGTATTCTATTCACTTACATCTAACTGTACAGCTAGTAGCTGCACACCAAAGTATTCTATTCAGTTACACCTAACTCTACAGCTAGTAGCTACACACCAAGGTATTCTATTCACCTGCATCTAACTGTACATCTGACCACATACTATTGTCCTCACTTGTATTTGTCTGTATACAACCACATTCTAACATCTTCTCCTCATTTCTACCTGAGCATACATAACTACACAATAAACTGTTCTCCACAGTCACATCTGTCTCAATAAACAAAGTATTTTAATCAATTCTACAATTGTATAGATGTTATAGAACTAATTAATATTTTGTTAAACATAAGGAGTTTACTGGTTTTAATCTTAAAGAAGTTTATACTTTCATCAATGCAAAGTAATATATACATCATGATCTAAAAAGCAAAAACAAATACAGTAAAAAAAAAAATCACAAACACTCGTTACATGTCAGTATTTAAAATAACATTATTAACAAATTCAGCTTAAATCTATTGAAATGCTTAAACAAGATGACAGACCACAGTACCTCTATGTGGTACTTGTTTGTTAGTATGAGTACCATTTCTGATGACAAGCTGAGTGGGAAGGTTTCCATTCATACGTACACCTGTCATCACTTAACACAATGTTGAAACTTTGAAAAAAAACAACTTCATCACCCAAACATTAAAACAGCATAAAAAATACACCGTCCAATTAGTTATGAATTTTTATTCATATAAATTAATTATACAAAAAAAAATCCATGAAAGTCATAAGCCGTTTGAACAGTATTGATGTGTATTTTTATCTGTTTTTAAAACCAGAGAATCAACTGAAAGGATATCTGTTTATTATCTCAAGCTTGATACAAGTGTATTTACACAATAACTATGAAATCAAAACAACTGAATGCTTTCTTGTTCATTTTTAGGGATAGCTATTTCAGTGCATTGACCGTCTTTCTGGGAAGTTTTGATCTCCACGTGAAAATCAATAATCTCTCTGATACGCTGCTGAAGATGCACAATGTTAACTGCTTTTGTAGCACAAATAGGAATTACATCATCAAATCCCACAAAATGTCTGGATTTTAGCTCATCTGGTAATTCCTCTGGATATTCTGAAGTAAAAAAATAAGTTTTAATCAATTTCTTCAGACAGTGACAGAAACATCAGCTGTAAGCCTAATGGATAAAGTTGGCTTTGCACTTACTAATGTAGTGTATGACTTCAGTAGGTTTTCTGCCTTAAAGTCTATCTGATAGGAGTTTCATAATCAAGTTATTTGATTTCATTAGGTGGAACAGTATAGACGTGTTTGGGGTATTTACTAATTTTGTATCTGATGGTAGTAATGTTGAAGGAATTTTTTTTCGTTTATTTTGATACAGAAAACAAATAGAAACTTTTATTCTAGCTGAAGAATGTTGGTTTATTATTAAGCACAAAGCTACACAATGGGTTATCTGTGCTCTGCCCATTGCAGGTATCAAAACCTGAATCCTAGCTCTATAAGCTGGGAGACTGACTGCTGAGCCATCTAGGGGCTAACTGAAAAGAGTGTTGTATATTTAAATACAGAATAAAGTTTGATTTATAAAAGTTATAAGGCTTTGGTTAGAAGATGTATATATGGTATGCTTGTACTTTATGGTTTGGATATAAATTTTTTCACTACGCACCTGAGTGTAATGTGAAACATAGTTTTATGAAAGTTACAAACTTCAAACATTTTGTAAAAGGTTTTAAGAATGTGGCAACACCTAAGGAGTTAGTTTTAATTTTTTTTTACTTCTGTTCTTATTCTATGTTATTTGTTAAACAAAAAAGTAGACTGAATTAGAAATAACTAAATATCTATGTATACCTAGTACGACTTTTGTTTACCAAATAATCAAGTGTAAACAGTTTAAATGAAGAACCATTAACTAGATAGCATAGGACGAGAAACAATAAGCATTTAACTTAACTTATTAAATAAAGTTTTCACTGTGAAACACACTTACTGTTCTCCAACAATTACTTCATTAAATTATTTAATCAAACCAGCATTTCACTAATACAGCTTCATCAGGGCTCTTATAGAACAGATTGTTATGATAAGTTAGGTAAAATTAAAAGTGTTCTATTTTATGTGGCATCAGGTTTAGTTCTGTCTAGGCCTAAAGCACAGAAGTATATTTTCTATAGATTATAGGCTTAGCATTCACTCATCTTTACATTACGAGTTTTCTCAGAATGTAAGCAACTAGTAAAGAAAATAAGATGATTAATGAATTTTAAAATGCTATAGTATTTATCATCATCATTTATTTATCATAACTAAGAGTGGGTAATTCACACCATGGACAGAGTGTTTGAGAACAAAACTAAAAATCCACCTGGCAATTGGCATAGCCAATTGAATAAACTTTTCTTAAGTTAAATTTTATAAAGATCATAATTCATTCTTTCATCAGTTGGGTACCTTTTCTGCTGATAATATTTTCGGCCATAATCCCAATAATATCTCTCGAGGTTCATCCAATTTATGAGATTTAAATTAGTCCTAAATACACATATAAAGCTAACAATACAAAACAATCTCTGTAATAAAAGTATAATAATAACAAATAAAAATTAAAAAGCAATAATGTTTGATATATTAAATAGTTTAATTAATATTGTTTGTAAAAGTAATAATACTTAAGGAACACAGAAATATTAGCTTTTGACTTGAATTACTGTCATAGAAATAATTTTCTATGGTAAACATAACATCAATATAAAATGCCTGATTTCTATAGAATTCTCCTTAAAACATCTTTTGACCAATGAAAACTCATAAAGCCACTCTGTAGTGTAAATTTGGAGAAGAGAGGCATCTGTGACAAATTTACGAAGACACTTTACTGTTTAAATTATGTCAAGTTAGCAGCAGTAATTTACTTATAGTACAGCCAAAAAACAATGTTTATGAAGATATGAAATAACAAATAAAAATAACACCTGAATTGAAAATATAACACGGTTAAACGTAATACAAAAAAACTAACACGCTAAACATACCATGAGGTAAGTCTAGCACCACAGCTTTCACTTGAACTAACCTCTGACACCTAAATAACGTAGAGCTGATAACAGGAAATAATAACTAATATGAAATATTTTCTAGAAAGTTAAATAGTAGTAATAAGACTTAGAATGGAAAGTTACATGTTAATATTTCAAAAAAAGTAATTATCTAGAACTAGTGGAAATAAGGTAATTATTTAGTGTCAGAATATACAAGGAACTATTATATAGAGCTATTATTAACTATTTATTAATAACTTAAACTAAGAGGCGGTACAACCATGAGTGTTCAAAACATAATTAAAACTACCTTCTCACTAAACGAGTTACAAAACTTGTACACTTCACAAGCACTATGTTTTTTTTCAAGTGCATATAGTTTATATATATGTGGTGGCATCAGGTTTAGTTCTATCTAGGCCTAAAGATCAGAAGAACATTTTCTGGGAACGTCCATGGGTAAAACCAATGGTGGTCAATACACTAGTGGTTCACTATTACTATAACCAATATCCACAGTAATTAAAGTGTAGATGTGAAAGTCTTAAAACATTGTGATATATTGTACACATTCTAAACCTGTAATCAATAGCAAGAATATTGTTGAATTTCCCACAGAATCAGATGAAATTTGTGTTTAAATTGCACAATGAATAACATCATTTATGAAAAATGAGAGAGTACGAGTTCTTTCTAAAAACTCTCGTAATGTTAAACAAATTTTATTGTATCTAATAAGCTGAGAGTAGTAAACACATAACTTGATTGATAATTCATACTTGAAATTGAAAAGTTAATAAGTTCAAAGTCCAAAATGTTCATTTTATTAAAAACTTTAAACTGAATGTCAGATTAATGATGCTGATATCTAAATCCAAATACTTTGCTTTGTTTTTAGTGAAATAGCTTTATGCTAAAGCGATTGTTTGTTTCTTCATTTGTAAATAAGCACAAAGCTACACAATGGGTTATCTGTGCTGTGCCTCCCACGGGTATCGAAACCCGGTTTCTAGCATTGTATCTCTGCAAACATACCGCTGTGCTACTGAGGGGCTTCTAGAGCGAACTCTGGTGGATAAATTGCTACAGTTGTATTTAAGAACCTTCATAACTAGGTATAAGAATCTCATCAATATATGAACAAATGTGATTCCTGTGTAAATATTTACTAGTCTTTCTTAGTAAGGTTTGTAATGTATGAAAATTCTAGTCCAAACAAATACAAATCTTCAACTTATGGACTGAAATTAAATCTCACTGGAATTTCTTGTATCTGTTGGAAGACATGTTGACCAAATTGCACAAATGTATTATCAAGTAAAAAATACATGGCCTGCAAGAATTTGTGTGAAACAGTGGTACTTTTTGTGAGTGACATTGCCACAGAAAATTCTGTATTCACTGGCACAGAGTAGTAATTTACAGAATTATTAAAAGGCCTTGAAATTGTTGATAAAAGACTTTTTAATTTTATCAATAATAAGATCAGAATAAAGATTACTAAAATCAAACGTTTCTACTTTCATAGCTACAAGGTCTGTAATGTTTCTCTTTATGCTCAATGGTATTTACTAATGATAATGAACAGATTAATACTAATTCTCTAATTACATATTAATTACAGTATTTCTTTAAATATTCTTTAATATATTTCAGATCATTACCTAAAATGATAAAAACCCTATAACCTGAGCAATTTTGAAAGGTGGACCTTTCTTCTTCAAGGACAAACAGTTTGCTCCTGAAGAAGAAGAAAGGTTCACCTTTTAAAAGTGCCCGGGTTACAAGATTTTTATCATTTTATGTTAAGATTTCTTGAACCCACATGTTTGTCTGACATGATCAGCTCATTACCTAGTACTCAACTGGAAAAGTTTAAAACTGCCCACACATGATCAATTCCGAGAAATGTTTTCATTTATGAAGTTTAGGATGTTACAAAATACAATTTATTACATAACATCACTTTTACTTTGATTAGTGTTTTACAAGAATACTTTAAGGACATATTTTTTTCTTGTATAACTACAAACCTCAAATTTGAGTGTTACTGCCAAGTCATGAATTCTCTGAACACATGTTGTAGCTCTTCAATAAGTCTAGTTTCCAGAATAACACTAGATCTACTGTGAAAAATCTGTTGAACTAACCAAAGGCACGTAACTTTATATTCATGTTATCTAAAAAAATATATGGATTAGATATATGAATGGAGAGTAATGTTAACCACTTTCCAATTTGCAATAAAAACTTGTCATTTTACTATGTTCAATATTATAAATTTACCCTTATAATAGTTGATTTCCTCTTTTAACTTCTGAAACTTTTTTTCTGCATCCTTTGTGTCCATTTTTGTTATGGCTAGGAGGGCAGGTTTCACAGTTAAGTCTTCTTTATATAACTCAAGCTCCTAAGAAAGAATTTATTTTTGTAGAACATCTCAAACCATGATAGAAAATTAGTGGTTTGCAATAGTTTAAAAGTAATTTTTAACTTCCTAAACCATAAAAGACGATTACTAAGAAGAATTAAGTTAAAAATATTAAACAGAATATTCAAAATCCATTTGTAATTTTCATACACTTTTGAACAACATGTTTGTTCAAAAGTTACAAGGGCTATCTGTGGTAGCCATCCCTAATAGTGAATTTGATTATGGTTCTTATAAATTAAGATCCACAGCCACAAATTGTGGAACACAATTTTGTGGCATTGGAAAGCAAACCTCCTTGGATCTACAGGTCTGGCACAGTAACTACTAGGCCACACACACAGCCTACCTTTGAATTAGACTTTAGCTCAATAATTTTGTTTGTTTATATTTTTTTAGCATAAAGCTGCACAAAAGGCTATCTCTACTCTGTCCACCACAGGGATGCAAACCCTGGAATTTGGGATTGTAATTTAACACTGATCTATTGAGGAATTCACCCATTAATGATAATTGACTTTTAACCTCACAACAACAACATTTTCCTCACTAAACTTGCTTATATAACACTGTAATGTGTAACACCGTCTTACTCTAGTTATTCCTCCTCAAGGCCCGAATAAATGAACAGTAAACTTTTAGTTGCTAAACATAACATTTATTTTCACCTAGAATTTAAGCAGAAGCCTCAAAATTAAGACTTCGTGAAGTTATTTTGGAATGAGTTTATTAAATTATATCTTCAATACTATCACTGCTTAAAACTTCTGTAGTCTTACATACATACATACACCTTATGAATTATTTTAACAAATACTGGGTACTTAAGAATATTTACTTGGCAACAACCACAAAATTCATTTAAAAAACAATAATATCATGTATGAAGGAGATCAAAAAAAGTCTAAAGAAAACTTCTCTTCTAATTAACATTGGATTTCGAAAAGATATCTCATGTAGAAAAATGGATTAAACTAAATTAAGAAATACCATAAACAAGGCCTCAACCTTAACTTCTAAAGGCTCTAGCAAGTTGCTAATCCCACCCACTAGCAAATTCAGGACAGCCATTAGCAACAACATTATTCTTCTATAAAAGTAACTGCAACTTGCAAATTCAGGACAGCCATTAGCAACAACATTATTCTTTTATAAAATTAACTGCAACTAGCAAATTCAGGACAGCCATTAGCGACAACATTATTCTTCTATAAAATTAACTGCAACTTGCAAATTCAGGACTGCCATTAGCAACAACATTATTCTTCTATAAAATTAACTGCAACTAGCAAATTCAGGACAGCTATTAGCAACAACATTATTCTTCTATAAAATTAACTGCAACTTGTAAATTCAGGACAGCCATTAGCAACAACATTATTCTTCTATAAAATTAACTGCAACTAGCAAATTCAGGACAGCCATTAGCAACTACATTATTCTTCTATAAAATTAACTGCAACTTGCAAATTCAGGACAGTAGGTAGCAGTCCTGAATTTGCTAGTTGCAATTAATTTTATAAAAGAATAACATTGTTGCCAATGACTGTCCTGAATTTGCAAGTTGCAGTTAATTTTATAGAAGAATAATGTTGTTGTTGCTAATGGTTAGCAACAACATTATTCTTCTATAAAATTCACTGCACCTGTGTCATAATTAATTATTTCATATATTAAAATAAATATGTATATGTCCTATTCATATGTAAAAATATTCTGTATCATGTTTTATTTTCAAACATATTTGAATGTCAAAACTCATTTTAATTACATGTGACAGTTTCTACTTTAACTATTTCACAAAAGTTAAAATTTGGGTAGAAACTGGTGTATTTAAGGCCATAAGCAGCTGGATTGACAAATTCTACTATTTCACTGTTGTTGGCCACCTTATCCTGAGAAAAAAAAACATTTTATTTTTTAAAAGTTAGGGTTTAAATGCCAAAAGATAGTGAAGCATTAGAAGCCAATAGGCCTAAAGTTTGTGTTGATCATGGACAAATTACAAATAAGTGAAAAAAAAAAATGCAGTTTACATGTCGGTATTATATTTCCTCTGAATGAGCAACCACTTGGGTGCAGTATTTCTAACCATGCTGCCATCAAAACTGCACTTAGAGGCTGAATTATTTGAGTCTAGCTGGTGGGTCCATGTGCTAATTGACTTTGCAACCAAACAAGATGAAGATGCAGTCTCATTATACCCATTTCCTGATACTTAGCCTGAGTACACCATAAAGCTGAAATGATCATAAGACTAACATGGCACTGGCAAGTGAAATGATCTTGTTATTCAAACTTATAGTTCCCATCTGTTCTAAGTAATGATTGAAATGCACGTAACATGAGTATATTGATACTCAACAGTAAGAATCTGCCATCCTTCCTCTGAAATATGTACTAGCAATATCTTCTAAGTTTTACTAGCAAAACTACACCATCAACTAGCAATCTGCTAGTTTGATAACGTTAATTTTCAGCCCTGTAAGTCTATACAAACCTTAACTAGGTAATGACTAATCTCAATAAATTTACTCAACCAAAATAAATCTCATGTAAAAATAAGAGGGAATCCTCAATAGCCATGGCACTTGAAATTCTTTTAGGCAGGATTGGAGTAAATTAATCTGAGAGACCTTTTTTTTTTTCTTTTCATTAGCTATATTTTTGTGTGCCAAGCTTGGGGCACACATATACCTGATTAGATTTTATTACCCATCAGGATCTCTACCAGCCTACCCTCAAATTGAAATTCTTTTAGGCAGGATAAGAGTAAATTAATCTATCAGACCTTGGGCACAGTCAAATACATCAATGGAAAGGGTTAGACCTCCTAATTCCAAAACTGTAATTAGATCTCAAACCAGTCAAGAGATGACGAACTATAAGCTAAAAGTTTGTACTTGAAAAACTCGGAGCCATTCTATGAGCCTCTATGCCATGGCTAAAAAAAAAGATTATATAAAATTATAAATGACCCTAATAGGTTCACAGATAACTTGCTAATCTTTGGCCAATTTTATTAATCTATAAAAACTCCCATATCAGAAAAGAGAGAGAGAGAGAAGAATTAAATTTAAATCAAAAACAATCCTAGTAAGTTGGTGAAAAACTTGCTTCACAATCTCTCATGAATTTTACTCATCCACCCCCAAAAAAAACTCCATGTAAGGGAGATTAAACTCTAAGAATACAGAAAATTTGGTAAACTAATCTAGATGATTTTGCTCAGGTAAATCAAATCTTAGTTAATTAGATAGGAAAAGGATTAAATTAAGTCAAAAACAACCATTACCAAGAGGTGACTTTGTTGCCATGAGGCATACCTTACCTGATTCAGGAGAAAAATTGTCTCCAATGCTGACCTGAATGGTGATTGAGGCTTGAGACGAAAACCTCCAATGTCCACAACAAACATTAGCAGTCTTGTTCTCACGAGGTGTTTTAAAAATTTATGGCCCATCCCATAATTCCTATGAGCTCCTTCTATAAGTCCTGGCAGATCTGCTACTGAGATCTAGAAAAAAAAAGTCGTCAGTCTTGATACAATAACTTCAATTACTGTACAATTAGTAAATGTTACTCTTTTCAGACAAAATATCACATAATAATTGAAACGTAAAGAAAGTATTTTGTGATACAAAAGACACTGGCAATACACCAACTCATTCTATGAACTGTAAAATCAATCCACTGTCACTGCACTGGCAAACCAAATATCTGGTAGACAAATAAAATGACAACATAAAGTTATACTGCTAAAGCGGCAAACATTTATTTGCAAATACAGTAACAATATACTAGCAATACAAATGACAAAACAAATCAAAATTCCAGTATTTATCACTGATCTATTAGAATTTCCAACTCAACATTATTATTCAGCTATTAAAATAATGTTAAAGAGAAATGTAAACAATTTAAATTTTTTACAAAAGAAAAACGTAAATACCGACGAAGCTGTAAAATTAATGCAATGTATATTTACATCACATTCAATTACTTTCAATTCATTTTACTTTTGATTGTTATAACACTTAGACTTAGGTCTAAATAGATAAAACCACAAAAACTGAAAATGATTTGGCTACCATTTCCAAGCTGGCTGTCCAAGTTGACCTATTTTGATGACATTCGACTGCTGTTTTTGGTATAAACATGGCCAGAAACTTGGATATTTCAATGCAAACAACAGACAGAAGAGTATGAATAACAGACACAGTACACAAGATGATCTTTACACAATGACCAAACAAAGGGAACAATGGATGGGATTTGAAATGAGATTTATAAACATTTGAATCATCGCCTTTATGATAAAAGATAACAGCAACAAAAGCTTTCTCCTTTTTTATTCCGTAGTGTTGTGATATCACCCAGTGTATGGATTTATCACAGAGCAAGAGTAGGGTCCCCTCAACTAGAGACTCAAAGTTATAGTGTGTGTTGTCTGTTTATCTCTCTTGAACTCTAATTAAGCTTATTGTGAAGAAGTATGGAGGATGCACAACAGCAGTCTTTAATACCACACGGTTAGTCTACAAACACAATACACTACAACAAAACATGGCTAAGTGTGTATGTATTGCATGTATTAAACTTGCAACAGAAATAAGGGAAGTGAAAACTAAGTGACTGCTCTCTCACCAGTTTAGTATGTGTGCCCCACCCCCTTGTAAGGTAAAAGAAACCTATAAAATCTAAAATGGAAAAAAAAACACAGTTTGTTTATTGTTAAGCACAAAGCTGCACAACTGGCTATTTGTGCTGTGCTCACCATGAGTATCAAAACCTGGTTTTTAGCATTATAAGTCTCCAGACTTACTGAGGAGCAACAACAAATATACAAAAGTTTCTAAGAGTTTATGGAAAACTCAGCTAAGTCGAAATCTCGGCAAAAAAAAATCTAAGCCTGCTAAAAGAAGTTCAGCTACAGGGAAAAACCTGGCTTTAAATACTACAAAAACACAATAATAACCGAGCCACACACTTGACCTTAATCTACAGCAATCCAAGCATGGGGGCATCCTCATGCCATTACCTAATTCACTGACAAAAAAAGATAGCTTTCTACAAAGAAATGTTACCGGCCATCTTTCCTGTAAGAAAATGCAGTTAATTGCCAAGTAGTGCATTCAGGTCCCATGCAAAGCTAGAATCAAGAAAAGTTTGAGATAGCTTTCTACAAAGAAATGTTACCGGCCATCTTTCCTGTAAGAAAATGCAGTTAATTGCCAAGTAGTGCATTCAGGTCCCATGCAAAGCTAGAATCAAGAAAAGTTTGAGGTGTTCGCTTGAGTGAGTTTCTGTGCCCAAACTGAACTAAAAGAAAATATAGATATTTCAAAGATTTACATGGGTAGGTAAAAGTGTGCTTGTCATGACATTTTACAGGATTACATTCAAAACTTAATTGCAATATTTTATTATCAATGTATACGAATACACTTTGCACTTAAACATAGTTAATAAATCAAACTTTAGTATTATATAAATTCTAATTTCTCAATATCAAAACGAAGTACTTAAATTCTCTGTTTCCTCTTGTCTTGTTTGCTCCAACTTGCCCATTTTCTATTTTTTTCAGTGCCCCTCCATGACATACTAAGTTTAATGCAAATTACTCATAATAGTATAATTTTCTTTGGTTATAAAGATATATGCCAGAAAGTCAAATCCACTTGCTATGCCCCTCCTATCACATCCTTTCTTTCACAAATTGCCAATAATTCTCTTCTCCCTGATGCATGCTAGTACATCATTTATAACCATTACAAAGACCATTAGAAAGTTTTAATTTACTGAAGGATATATAATGGTACCTTGTTCAAAGTAGAGATTTTAAGTTATTTAACCTACAGATTCAAAGTTGTTATTGATGAGTTCAGGTTGAACAGCTAGGAGAATTATTTTGCATGTGATATTTTGTGTTCTTAAGTTACTAGTAATATTGTTGCAAGGAACTAGGGTTAAATTCATCAGAGGGTCAACAGCAAAAACACAAAAGGCCAAACATAAGGACTAAATTAGAAACTTATTAGGTTAGGCAATGAAAACATAAAGATATTTCTCCATGAGGTATGTTCACGAGTAGTTTGTGCTTTATGTCATTCAATACTGTAACTTCAGCTGCACATTTGCTATGTTATTTACAGCTTGTGTGGTGGGATTATTAGTTAGACACAGTTCAAAGAACAATAAAACAATTATACAATGAAATAAAAACAGATGTAAACTGTAAACTTAAGATTTTTAGGACAAATAACTATAATTTTCTGTTATAATCTGCAATAACTCTAGAAAAAAAAAGGGATAATTTAGGCTTTTTGTTTTTTGTGGTGGTAACTCAAATCTACCAAGTCAATATTGCGTTATAGTAGAGAAAATAAATAAAATATAAAGTTTTACTGAAAAAACTTCTGATATTCATTTAGGAGGTTCTCGAGGTTGTGCAAATGAAATCTGAATACTGTATGATACAAAAAGTCATTTTAATCTTAACATGAAAATCTCTTTGCACTCAGACTAGCCAGAGTCTGAGCCACACTTTAACTCCATAAATTCACAGACAAATCTTCAGAAAAAAACACTTAGAAAACTGATTTTATGTTTACAAAAAACTTGTAATGTTTACCAAAAGCTTGCCAAATTTCATGAAGGTACCCTTACCACATTAAAAGTCATACTATATATACATACTTTCATGGTTATCGGGTGGTTGGAGGGTTGGTCAAAGTGGCCAAGCTCATATACAAAAAAACAGAGAGTTACCTAAAGGGGAAGCAAACACTTGGTACCATATTGTACAAGTGTTCTACATTAGTTTCCTACACTTTAAAATAAGATAAGTAGAGAAGAAAAAAAAGGTATTAACTTCTGGCCAGAAAATGGAAAATATCAGTCACAGGAAAGTAATTTTGAATAACTATTGAAAAAGTTACTGATACTTTGGTAGCCCTAATCCTCATCTATTGTTCTAACATGTTCAAAATTTTTCCTGTTACATATTCTGGATTTATCACCAAACTTGGCCTTCTTAAGTTGTGAATTTAGGTTTAAAAATAAATAATTATCTTTGTATGCTTATTAAGTCATTTAAATTTTAATGTAACCTGATATTTTTCTTTCAATGTAAAACAAGCATATAATTAAATATATTTCATTACATTATGGTTGCTTAATCAAAATATCATTTCAACTACTTTCAACCAACTGACAAGCAGAAAGAACGGTACCTGTCTGAGGTCGTTGTACATCATTACTCCCAAATTAGGTGTAATTGTTGTGACTGTAAAGAGTACGAATGACAAAGGTTAGAAATATATTACTTTACAGATAAAATTCAGATAAATTTTTTTCTTGAAATAATCTTCAAGTATTATAACAATAAGGATAACATCTTAAAATGAGCTTTAAGAACCAGGACAATTTTTGTCTACATATTTTAGTATTAGAAACCAAACTGCACAGTCTAAAACTGAAAATTAGCAACAGATAATTACATTATAAAGGGGAAAATGATCAGGCAGTGCTATGCTTTAGATATAGTTGAAAGAAAAAAAGAGTTAAAGTTTTATGTAGCAGTGTTTAATAAATGATATCCATATACAAAAATCATTAGACTGGCAACTGAGGATGTTTACATATTTCAGTTTAGACATAGGGCAGATTTTACATTGTTGTTAGAACTAAAATTCACCTCAAACAGGTACTTACAGCTGAAATAGACTTTATGCAGTCACGTGACCAAAGTAAACACGGCAACAATTTGCAGCCATATTGAACATAAACATTATTTGTGAAAACATGGCCTCTGCTACACGATCACCTACTTCTCCATTCATGTTACATGAATTTAATAGCAAATTAGACAATATACGCAGTTAAAGATATGAAGAAAAACACTGAAAAGTCAGTCTTGACAAGCCACATTTTTGATAAAACTTTATTATCACCCACTGGGTCCTTCCACCTAGCACTGTTTGTATGGGCCTGTAAATTACAAGAAGCACCAAATATTTACAAGCTCCAGATTTTGTCAAGATCTATGCAACATAATTGTGACAACGTACATTGTATATACAAGTAGTACTAACCATATATAAAATGGGAACTGCATAGTTTATGGTATGACGATAGTTTCCAAGACTTGTCAATGTTGTTTGCATCTGTATGTTTTACTGCTACAGTTCATGTAACTCTATGTAATAGATCTTTTGAAAACCTATGAAATGATAACTTTGGATCCTTTGTCTGGTTGTTTGTACAAGTAACTGCTGCACAGCTGACTGTCATTTCAAACATTTGATCTCAAATTCCAATACCAGCAACTACATTGTGATTACTAGTTTCTCTGCTACGTCCAAAATGGCAGCGTTTACTTTTCAGCTTGCCAGTAATGTATGTGTGGCATCACGTATATAGGGTCTATACTGAAAGTTTTTTCTTGTTAAGTTTGAACTCATGCTGTCAACAAGATATGCAACTCAAAATTTCCAAAATCCTTTACATATTTGCATACAATATACGTCATCCATAATACTCTACTCTTCCACATTCCACATGACTTATTGCACAGGCATCAGTGGATCTGTCATAAGCTTTGATTTCCCACCATCAATTGGATTTGTTTGAATGGTGTAGATGTAGTGAAAAATTGTTTGTGGGAAACTGATTGTTTAAAATGGATTTTAATGCTAAAAATTGGAAACTGAAATCAGGCAGACTTATATCTGAAATAATGAAATCCAGAATATCTACACTGTAAAGAATGTGGGAACACTAATGAACCACATTAAGAAGCAAGAAGGGAAGCTACCCACACAATAAAAACAAAACTTTGTAGCAAAACAGAGTCTGAGTAGAACCCAAACCCAAGAAAGACCCAAGCGGTCCCAAGAATGAGCTCAACAATGGAAAGACTTTACAATGGGAACATCAAAGCACAATAAAAAACATGTATGAACCCCATTCTGGTTGGAGCAGAGACATTGAGTGACATTGCCAAAGCCACGCAAAGACATGCATATGGAAGTGATAAAGGTATCTGCTGAGGAATCATCAGCCACTATGTAGCACCCTTAGTCCACTTCCAAATCAATACAGATAGATATGCAAGAAGAGATTGTACTGAAGTATGTCATTCAAAGGGCCCCTATCATGGAGCTTCAGTATAGAGGAGTGAGTGTGTCTAGGGTTAAAACAGAGGTATATATATATATAACATGTGGGAGTTACAACTTGTTTTTAATAAAGACACATACATATATCTATATACTGATATATATATATATATATATATATATATATATATATATATATAATACAACTAATATACTACCTACACCTACTACCACCTACTACTTACTAAGAGGGTAGGGGGTAGGATACGGGACGTAATACTAGACGAACGGAA